TTCCCCCCCAAAATTTCATATGAATTTTAACAAAAAGGTATTCACAAAGGGTATTACTACTTCTACTTTTAACATATATCAGGCACTTCAGAACATCTAGCAAGACTAGATATTTCAAAAAAGTACTTAGTTTTGTGAACTATATATACAGTAATGAGGAATAAAATGCAAACACAAAACAATGCTTATGATATGAAAATGTCTTCTAAATATGACCAGTCTGGCACAGAATCTTCTCTTCCTTCTCAAGGTTTTCCACTCCATGTCCTTTAACCCACTGAACAAACGTGAACAAGTGTCGCTTCCAGAGGTGGTCTAACAATTCCATTTCAAAAAGTCATTTCCAGAAGACATTTTTTTCCTATGATTTTTTTTTAACAAATGGGCATTTACAAGATGTGTTATTTTCTAATTCTACTTTATCATACGTCGGCAACCTCTTTACATCTAGAAGGATTAGATGTAGTAAACGTTTTCTTTTAAAAGGTTGGGGAAAAGTTGAGAGCAGCTTTTTCATATTATATACACAGGCCTTCTTCTATAATCGGCCAGTAAATCTTCCCAAAGGGTGGTGGGCATTTCCAAATGTGGTTATGTTTTTTTTTTCTTCTGTCTGGTGGCAGAACGAAGACCAACCGCCCGCCCGAAGGACGCTAACCGTTCCACCCGTCGTCATCCCGGCTCCGCTCACCTTCCAGGCCCGTTAAGGCCTTTGTCCGTCGTTGTCAGGACTAAGTAGGGCGCGCCCCTTTGGTACAGAGCGGGCACAGCAAGACCCAGATCTGCGCCGCTCCACTGCCCAAGAAGGTGACCGAGCTTGCGTCCACAGACCGGCCTTCTCGGGCTCTCCAAACCCTAATGGCCCTCCGCAGCGTTTGGGCGGTCGCCATTCTTCTCGCCCCGCCACACCCGCCGCCTCCCAAAGGCGCCGCGTTCTGGAAGCTTGGAAGGGACTTAGCCTCGGCCGGGCAGGGCTGGGCCAAAAGACCAGGCGGCCAGCGGAGTCCGGCCTCAGAGAGGCCGCTGCCATCATCAGATCACCAAGGTGGGGTTGCCAGAGACGTTCGCCACTGCTTCTAGGCCTGGGCCTCTCCGGAGGGCAACCACAGCGAGGGCTCCGGGTTCCTGCAGGGCAGAGGCCGCGGCCCCTCCCAGGGGGGCCCCCCAGCTCACCCGGAGCCGGAGGGCCTGGAAGGCCCAGAGGGCCCAACGGGCCCCGCGGGAACTGGCCGCTGCATGTCTCACCGTGCTCTCTGCCAGAACTGTAAACAGTCTTTAAACACATAAAAACAGTAACAAAACTTACTGGACTTTTGCTCAAAATGGCAAAGTAATAAATAAGAATTACAACAAGCCATTGACCTTTAAATATTCTTGAAAACAGATTGAAGAGAACATTCTGATCTAGGAGAGGACAAAAAGGACCATCAAATGGCATCTTTTCACTGGCAACTTTTTCTTCCTCCAATAGTCCATCTGCCACAGTAGCTGTCACTATGATAGAACAGTAAGATTTGAATAAGGACAAGTACCATTCTACCCATCCTCTCTCTTCCCTAATGAGCAGGGATTGTTGGCTAACAACAAAAGGGCATCCTGGTTATGCCTTTGTGTCCTTTTAATTTCCTATAGATCAATCTATAGCACATACACTCTAACATATACAGATAAACTCATTAATGTTTCATAATCTATTTCGAAGTATAGGTTTCATACTTCTCAGTTGAGACTTCTTTGATCCTTGTAAAGTCATAACGAATGGGTACCCTTTAGTAAATAAATATGTGCTCTACCATGTATTGAGTACTAGGTGTTTTAAATATTAATATTCTAATCCTCACAATAATTCTCTGAGGCAAGTGGATAATAACCTCACTGAAAATAATGAAATTAAGAATTAGAAAGATTGTCACTTGTTCTATGTCATACAATCAATTACCCAAGTCATGATTCAAAAGTAGGTCTGATTCCAAAGCCTGTTTCATTACAGTATTTAATAGCATGGTGCTTTCAAGTACTGTAAAAGAGTATCTTAACCAGAGGTCCAAATAATAATGGTTGCAGTCATTGTCCTGGTGTTCGTTTTGAGTAGAACAAAAGGACTATATCTGGCTGTGCAGAAGCTTTTTAATTTAATCAGGTCCCATTTGTATATTTTGGGGTCTTCTTCATAAATTCTTTGGGGTCTTCTTCATAAATTCTTTGCCTAGGCCAATATCTAGAAGGGTATTTCCAACATTTTCCTCTAGAATTCTGATAGTATCACACCTAAGGTTCAAGTCTGTTACCCAGCGTGAGTTGATTTTTGTGAGAGGTGAAAGATGTGGGTCTTGTTTCAGTCTTATACATGTGGCTATCCAGTTTTTCCAGCACTATTTATTGAATAAGTATTCTTTTCCCCAGTGTATGTTTTTGTCTGCTTTGTTGAAGATTAGTTGGCTATATGAGGATGGTTTTATATCTGGGCTCTCTGTTTTGTTCCACTGGTCAATGTCCCGGTTGTTGTGCCAGTTCTAAGCTGTTTTAATGACTATAGCCTTATAGTATAGTTTGAAGTCTGGTAAATTGATACCCCCTATTTTGTTTTTATTGCCTAGGATTGATTTTTCTATACGGGGTCTTCTCTGGTTCCATACAAAGCATAAAAATTATTTTTTCTATATCTGTGAAAAATGATTATAGTATTTTGATAGGGATTGCATTGACTCTGTAGGTCACTTTGGGTAGTATAGCCATTTTAACAATGTTGATTCTGCCGAGGCATGATCATGGTATATTCTTCCATATGTTTACGTCCTCTGCTATTTGCACAGCCAAAGAAACTGTCAAGAGAGCAAACAGACAACCCACAGAATGGGAGAAAAATTTTGCAAGCTACACATCTGATAAAGGGCTGATAACTAGAATCTATTTAGACTCAGGAAAATCATCAAGAAAAAGTCAAACAACCCTATCAAAAATGGGCAAAGGACATGAACAGAAACTTCTCAAAAGAAAACAGAATAATGGCCAACAAACATATGAAAAAATGCTCAACATCTCTCATCATCAGGGAAATGCAAATCAAAACCACAATGAGATATCACTTAACTCCAGTAAGAATGACCTTTATCAAAAAGTCCCCAAACAATAAATGCTGGCATGGATGCGGAGAGAGAGATACACTACTACACTGCATGTGGGACTGCAAACTAGTTCAACCTCTGTGGAAAGCAATATGGAGATACCTCAAAGTGATACAAGTAGATGTGCCATTTGATGCAGCAATTCCACTACTGGGCATCTACCCAAAAGATCAAAAGTCACTTTATGAAAAAGACACATGCACTCGAATGTTTATAGCAGCACAATTCACACTTGCAAAGCTGTGGAAACAACCCAAGTGCCCATAAATACATGAGTGGATTAATAAAATGTGGAATATGTATACCATGGAGTACTACTCAGCTTTAAGAAACAATGGTGATATAGCACCTCTTGTATATTCCTGGATAAAGCTGGAACCCATTCTACTAAGTGAAGTATCTCAAGAATGGAAAAACCAGCACCACATGTATTCACCAGCAAATTTGTATTAACAGATCAACACCTAAGTGTATATATAGGAGTAACATATATTGGGTGTCGGGAGGGTGGGAGGGGGGAGGAGGCGATCGTTATATACAACCAAACGAGTAAGATGTGCAACATTTGGGGGATGGACACGCTTGAAGCTCTTACTGAGAGGGGAGGGGGGCATGGGCAATATTTGTAACCTTAACACTTGTACCCCCATAATATGCTAAAATAAAAACAAATTAAAAAAACAGAAACCAAAAAACAAAACAAAAGGACTATATCTGTTTGGGCATGAGACCCTGTATATTTTCATACACATTATTCCATATAATCTTCCCAATAACACTGAGCATCATCACTCCTATTTTAAAGATGAAACAATCAAGAATTTGATAGGGATAGGTAACTTATTCATTGTCACAGAAGAGTCAGATTCAAATACCAAACTACAGTCCTCCAACTCTAAGTTCTTTGCTTTGCCAGAACATATTGTTGTTTTGCTATTTAACTTCATGTATATGTATATGCATACATGTTTTGTCTCTTTAATGATACTGTAAGCTATTAGAATGCATGGATTGTATTTTATATTTATTTATATGTTACAGTATACCTTATTAAATTGTACTTTCTACGTGATACTGAAGAAATAGAAATATATCTTTACTGGCAGTATAAAAATGATTTAATAGAAACATCAAATAAAAACTGATTTCTAATGTATGGGAAAAAATGACACAAGCTACTCACAATGCTACAAATGTTTTCAATATACTCTGGTATTTCAAGACAGCAATCAAGAGAAAACATCACCCAAAAGATTTTTTCCTCAAATCAGGGATACTGAAAACAATCATTTGCTGAAACTACAATGCAGTATAAATTGAACACGTTTCATTAAATTCAAGTTGATATTTAAGAACATGAGAGTTATTCAAAGGAGAAAGCTCTGACAAGATGAGATGCTTTCAACATTTGTGATAAGCATAAGGTTAGTAAGCAGTCTATAATTTAAAATAATTTCAACAATTAAAGCAGGTCTTTTTCTTTTCTTTTCTTTTTCATTTCAGCATATTATGGGGGTACAAATGTTAAGGTTACGTATATTCCCCTTGCTCCCCCTCCCTGAGTCAGAGCTTTAAATGTGACCATCCCCTAGACGGTGCACCTCACACCATTATGTATGTATATATCCATTTCCTCCTCCCCCCTCCCACCAGGGTGGAATATGGCTAATTTAGAAGTGGCTTGTGATCCTAAAACCAAAATTATTTTTGCAAAATTTGTGTGATGCTAACATCAAAAATAAATTTATATGCAACTCAAAATGAAGACAATTATTTATAGCTCAATACAACTGAAGCACATTATATGTGAAAGAAATATGTAGCCAAGTAAACTTATGGCTAGGACACGTTTTGTGCATTAGCTATATAAGTTGTCAAAAATATGTGCAAAATGACCCTTTTATTTTTCTGTTCTGTGTAATTGCTCTATATTATTACAAGGCACAAGAACTTTGCATGGCCTGTCAATAATCCAGTCCAATACATTTATACCATACATTTATTTTTCAAAATTTTATGCAAACCTCTTATGAAATAATATAAAATTGGCCCTAAATAGCATATAAGGAAATTCATCTCTAATGAATTATTCAAAGAATAGGAAACAGATGAAGGGCAAAGCTGGCTGAGTGGGAAAATACTGAGACAACAGAAGTCCATGAAGAGGATACATGGAGTGATTCTCTTGATTCTGAGACGGTAGAGGCAGAAGACACATTCATTTCCTTAGGTAGATCACTCATGAACCAACATAATGAAATTAAGTCTTAATAACTGAATTCTACTAGAAAATTATTGGTCTTTTGGTAGGCTAGACCATTACCATTTAGATGTTCAAATTGTCCTATTACAGACACCAACTTTCAATTATTGAAAGAAATCAGCCGATGAGCTGAGAACATTAATTTATTACTGTTAGGACTTAGATTTGCTAGACATAATTTCAGCTAGATACATTCTATCAATGTTCTACACTCTTCATGTCATGATTATTGAAAAACCACTGAAATCCCAGCACTTTCCCTCTCTTGCTATCCACATCCCTGTGTTCTAAGCCTCTGCCACTCAAAACTAAAAGCATCACTGCGGTTACACAAATGTGTCATGCTCTCTTACTGCCGGGCTTTTGTACACATTACTTCTGTGAAGAAATGCCTTCTGCCTAGATTTTTCCAAATTAACATAAAGTAAAATTGACTCATTTTTGCTGTATAGCTTTATGGATTTTAACTATGTATAGATACATATAACAACTACCACAATCAGGACAGAAAACTGTTTCATCACCCCCCAAAACTACCTACTGCTATCACTTTAGAGTCACAACCTCCTCAGACCTCTAACTTCTGGAAAACCACTGA